CAACGCCGACCTCCGTAACTGGAAAGCCCGGAGGCTTTGAGCAGTTCAGAAACGAGCTCATGAGGATCCAGAGAATCCTGGATTCTCCGGCGTTGGTCGACCTTGGTAAGGTCGATCTGGACGCTCTGGGCGAGCCGCCCAGGGAGTACGTCTCGGATGAGGATCACGAGGGTCACGTAGATGATGATGGGATGGGTGGACAAGTTCTCATCAATGGGCGACCGCGACCTAGTGCCCTCAAAGCAGGAGCCGCCCTACTATGAGGCAAAGGCGTGGCGCACCACAGAAGAGGAAATTGAGAGGATGAAGAACCTTTTTCCATACGTTCGTGCCGAAAATTATCGGCTTATGTCAGCGGGGACTGGTCCCATAGGTGCCAAAGCGCACGTACAGGGCGTCCTCCCTGCTGGTGCGTCGCTAGAGGAGGCACTGATGGCAAAGCCCGATGTGTGCCCGATTGCGAGCACCTACAACCTCACATACGAGGGTGAAGAGGTTGTGTTTGATGCACAGAGCGGGACAGCAGGCAGAATCGCCTGTCCTGCCGGTAACGACATCTTCCATTTTTTCCCCGAGATTAAGGATACGTCGGCGATGCTTGGGCGAAGCTCCAGGGAGTCGCAAATGCTGCTAGAAATTTTGTCGGGCAACACTGACCCAACGCGGTTGAACGTGAAGCCCGGTGAGCCGGCTCCCTTCTTGTGTGGGACGGTTCCAGACATTCTGGGAGGTTGGATGTCAATGACTCTAATCTCAACGCTCTTTGAGGCCCTATACGGGATCCATAAGTGCACGAGTGTCGAGGTGGCGACCTGGGCGGGTTCTCTCGCGAAGGAGAGCCCAGCGTACCCTCCAGTCGAGCTCCTAATACGGACAGTCTGGAGGGGAGATGGCACGACTGTGCGCCCGAATGAGGTGCTTTTTGCGCGTTCCACCCTAATCGGGAGGGACGTGCCGTTCAAAGTTTTCAAGCGTTGGGCACTGCGTGACCGAACGCCTATGGGGCCTTTGCTTAGGCCGTTGGGAGCAGCGGAGGTCCCTTACACGGGATACGTGCTGCTGACGATGGCCGAGTATCGGTCCGCCCTCAAAACGAGGTGCATTCGGAGGCCCGGCAAATTCGCCATCACAGTTTTCCCCATGCGACCTGAGCAGGTCTGCAGGGGGGAGATCATGATTGGGTTGGAGGGCGCAAAGGTGCCTCTCCTCAAGTTGCCAAGCCCCAATAATGAGGGCGAATTTTATGTTGACGATCGCGTCAAATACATGGACAAGCGCCATGTCGTTGTGGCCGTTGACCTAAAGTGGATGGCCATCGAGGAAGCCGCCGGCATCTATAAAACCCGACGCGGTTTGATTGCTGTGCGAGAGGAGATACATGCGCCCTTCTGGCGCGCATGTTATCTGCACCAGGAAGGGGATGTAATATACATCCGTCCCTGGGCGGTCCGAGAATTGAACGTCCAGGGACCGCGGAGAGGGGTGTCATTTTCATGGGACAAAGCTCCCATGCATGACTATTGGTGCCCTCGGTGCGCGCATTTGAATATGTATGGCACCATTCTATGCAATGGTTGCCATTTGCCGATTTTCTATCGAGAATGGGTGCCAGGCACCATCCGCTCCCAAGTTAGGAGAGGGCAGCCAGTTTGGCTGGACGGACTCAAGGCAGTCCGTGCCAACAGCTGGTATGAAGGGGAGACTGACGTGTGGGCTCCTCTCATGGCGTCGGTAAACCCGATCCGCGAGGTGGTCAGCTGTATGATCTCCGGTCTGCGCTGCGCGCCTCATCTTGTGCACAATCCCAATGCGGATACCGTGCAGGTTGCGTTTCAGGAGGTTGTGAAAGTCACCTCAAAGGACACTCACGCTTGTGTGCGTGCGAGTGATGAGGCTCTCGAGCAGTGGGTAGCAAAACAGCTGCTCATCGAGGAGAGCAATACTGGCGTCCCAATTCCCGACAATATGTCTGTCATGACATATTTGGTCGAGCACCCGCAACAGGCGGCGCAATGGGGTCGTCATATGACAAGAAAGGGCAGTCTAAATTCAGCATTTGCCCTTTACCTCTCTGTGCATATTTTTGATGCCTACCGCATCGGAATTGAGGACGGATATTTGGTTCCGCTGTATGGCCTAGGCGCCTCACGCGCGGACATCATAATGTCATTGGTACAGGCTGAGCGACGCCTCTCGGACTTCAATAGTGAGGACCCAAGTTTTGATGCCTCCACAGTTCTCGATTTGAGTATCGACTCTCTGCGGGCCGGTGGTGGATCCATCACGGCCCCAATTGAGTATGCCGAGGCATACATTTATGTCGAAAATAACAAGGTTGACATGGTCCCCGCTGCACAGCGCGACGGCCAAAGCGCCATTGTTTTTGCTGACCCGCCGACTGGGAAGCACCATAGGCGGGCAGCCACTCCTAGGGGAGATCATCGGTCTGCTACCCCGCGACCTGATTCCAGGGCAAAGGGGGATCAGCAAAAGGGCAAAGCCCCTGCGCACTCCTGGCCCAAGGGTGGAGGTCACAAGGGTGACCAGTTCTCAGGCAAGGGTCACAAGGGTGACCAGTTTTCAGGAAAGGGTCACAAGGGTGATCAGTACAAAGGCAAGGCTACCAACAAAGCCAGTTCGGTCGAGGCGGATCCGCCAGATCGAGAACTCCCACTGGCGGGTATCAGCCTGATGCTCGCGGGTCGGGGTACAAGGGTGCACAGGCTGCCCCTTTCCCGTTCCCGAGTCCGATGTATCCCACTTTCCCAATGGGAGGATACATGCAACAGCCCATGGCTAGCATGATGCCACAAATGTGGCCTGGCGCAATGCCGCAGGGTTGGCAGCCGCATATGCAGGGTGATCCCCGCGAGTTCGAGAATCCGAACTCGCCGGGTGACGATGACGAGTTGGCCGAGACAGTGCCTCCTCCCCCTGGGGACTGGAATGTCAACAAGGGGAAGGGGCGGCACGGCGGCGGACGACATCGGTAATACCTGAAGTCTGTCTGTGCGTTTTGCATGGCTGCGCCAACGCGCGCATGCTTTCATTTCGGAATTCACAAGATGGACTATGCTCCTTGTCGTATTTCGTTGTCTGGGCTATTCGCCATTTCAGAATTCATCTGCATGCGTGGCTGTGCGCTATTCGCGCAAGCTGCGATTACCTGTCAGGTGTGCGTCGCCACAGCAAGGCAGTCACCCTCGGCGGCGTCTATGGCCGCTGGTGATCTGCATCCTCCTGCACCGCTGCTGCTGCTGGTGATGGAGCTCATCCAGGTGCCGAGGTGAGGATCGCGGATGCCCCGCACCGCTGCCGGTGAGGTCCTACTCGGACCTGAACCGCCGAATGCCGCTGGCAGTATCCCTGGAGGTGGTCTTCGAATGATCGCGCGCCTAGACGGTGCTGATTTAAGACCGTACCCTTTTTGGTCTATGCACCACGTTTCAACCAGCAAGCCAAAGCGCTTTTGACCACATAATTCAAACATTAAATCCACGTGAATCTATTGATTCAATGTGGTTGCATCGCAGATATTTCATGCCTGCCATTTTGGAGTTGAATCTTTGTTCTTTTCCTTCTTTTGTTTCTCTTGGTTGATTTGGCTACCGGCGTGATCCGCTCCATACCCGTAATTCGGGGTGGTGGCGGGATCCGGGCTCCAAAGCGAGCCCGGGTATGGGGTCGCGAACCCTGGTAGTCTAATCGTCTTTGTTTCTTGTTTGTTGCTGTTCAACTTCAACATGGCCTATGCGCCTTTCCAAATTCACTCCTTCTCTTTGTACAGTCGAGGGGGGTGTTTTTGGGGGCATGTACTTTTATCATAGTGTATGTTATTTCCTGCCAATGTCCAATGCGACATTTGGCTCAAGCTTTTGCCCCTGGCAAACTAGTCATTGCTGTTACCGTCGCCATAGCGGCGCGGCATCGTGCATCGTCTTCTTCTTGTAAAAGGAGTGGCCGACAGCCGGTGGTGCCGTTCTACGGCGGGTTCGGGTCGAGGACGGTTTGGGGGGTTGCGCTCTTGGTTTGCTTTGCTTGCTCGCTGCGCTGCTGTGTTTGCCTGCTTGGTTTGCTGCTTTGTGCTTGCTTTCGGTTGTCTCTGCCCTTGCTGGGCTTCTTTACCTTGTTACAACTGGCACCCTGTTTTGGTTCGTGTTTGGCCAGCCGAGGGCACCGCTTTGCCCTTGGGACTGGGGGACTTAAACAATCTCTTCTTGTTGGTGGGATTGGGCCTGTTTATTCTCTCCCGAAACTCTGTTTCAAACCCTTTCGCACCTTTAAGACAATGTGTAGGAGGTTCCTCTGACCATCTCAACCAGCGAATTGTCCGGCTCATTCCTTGGGTGTTTAGTTGTTTTTTGTTGGTTTAGTGGTCGGGTATGTGAATTTGGACAACTAACAGTTATTCACTTTTTCCCGGGCATTTGGGGACAAGCCAGCCAGGCATTTGGAGCGAGGGGCCTCAAAGCCGTTGACTCTGATCAGCCATTCTTTCAAAAGTTTTGCACTGCGAGCGTTCGAGCGGAGATGTGGCAGCTATTCTGCTGATGCGGAGTTGTTCAAAACGGCGTGCACCCAGTTTTGCTGTCGTGCTTACGACTTGTTACACATTGCAATCCATGGAGATGCAGTGTTCGGCGTACTGCTGATGCCTTTTTCCATTTCGATGTGTTGTAACGGAAGCTCGAAGCCCCGCAAAAAAACAGGGCAAATGCAGACATTCACAGTACCAATGTTCATGAGTCAAGACATCCTCGGAAGTACCTTGCTGAAAACTGGATTTTGTTGGCTCATGATTTTGCGTGTTTAACCGGGAGGTGGCATTGTGCAGACTTTTTCGGCAATATGGTGCAACACATGGGCACCTTCTTTGTAATTCTGGTTTTTAAATGAAAACCAAAAGGAACCCTTTTTGGGTGGTCCCCCAAAAATACACACCCACATATTTCGGCTTGTGCGGGGGGGGGTGGTGTTCTGGGCTCGGGAGCATCGCCGAGGACGCGAGTATGGCCTCTGCTGTATTCCCCGCTGGGCTGGTCAGCTCGCTGCTCTTGGCAGCGGCCATGATCAAACGGGGCTGCGATTCGAGGCTTTTCGCGAGTCTTTTTTTGGGGAGCTTTTGTGGACTGATGCCAGGGGCAAGGACCCCTAGGCAATGTGGTCCCTTGGATCTGCTTCTCGAAGAGGGCCTTGACAAAAGGTGAAATGGATTGCATGAAGGTCAACAAAAAGCAAAAAGAGGGTGCGTTCTCCTTTGGTTTCCCTTACAAATCTCCAACCAGGGGGACTCGCAAAAGGCACATGGTGTGCTTAAAAGAGGCTCTGTACCCTTTTGAGATGGTTCTAAAAAGACACTTGTTTTTTGTTTGGGGTCCCTCCATTTTGACACTCCCATCTCCCAGACACTTCAGCACTTTGGGGTGGTACCTCCATCGTGCTGAGCATGTTGCCCTGGCTTGTAGGCATTGCGTCACTGCAACTCCCTTTTCGTTTGGTCTGGGACATTGTCAGCCATGCAAAGCAACAACTACTCGCTCACGCAACACCCAACAAACCAGGAGTTGCTTTACTTCTGGAGCTGCCACTCTCCGGAGTATCTCCATAGAGGTGTGCAGCAAGTCATGCGTTGCTTCGTTTTACAAAGAAGCCATTGGATGTGGTGCGTACCTGTCGATAGCTTCATGTCGACTGATGACCAGGACAACACATGTCCATTGCTTCAGCAATTGGACTGCATCAAATTAAATTAGGGACCCTCTGATGCACGTCAGTTACATGGGATTTTATGTCCACCAACCGTTGTGGGGGGATGCCACGCTGAATCATAACCACATGTTGTGTCTTTTGTAAGGGACCCTATGAGTGGGGGTCCCTTTGGTTTCCCTTCACCGCACAAAAGCGGGAGGAGGGGGGGACTCTCAACAAATGACACACCCATCAATGTCTTACCCATGCTGCCAGCTTGACCGACACAATGCCAGCTCTAGCTCTCAGGCTCCAGCTTACTCTTTCCTGGAGCGGCGGCGGTCCAAGTTCATTCTGGAGCTGAGCCTGCAAGTTGTGCTGGTCCTCGTCTTGTATTCCCTTCTTCAGCTTGTTCTGTCAGGCGTTCAGAATAGGGCATTCTATGAGATTGGCCTCTTCCTGATTGCCTTTACAGTTGCTTGGCAAACATTGGCTCTGAGCAGAGGGCAGGCTGATTCTGAACCCTCGCCCTAAATTCACTGTTTGAGCTTGATGAGCATAGCCCTGCTTTGTGATTGGCCAGCTGTTTGCCACATTCCGCTACTACCTAGAACTGGATTGTTCCACCCCAGGACCAGTTTTGGCCCATCCATCGTGCGACTGTGAGCGACGCTGCTTTTCCACCTGACTGAGGTTGGGTTGACCTACTATGTCACGCCGAACGCCTTCCCCTTGTCTTTTGGAGAGGATTGCGCCTTTGCCAGTGCAGTGCTGGATATTGCTGGGCTGGTGGCCGCATTCCTCTTCCACACCACCAGCAGCAAAATCTTCGGCTCAGGCGAGGGTGATTCTGCTCATTTCCTTGTCCCAGTCTTCGCGCATGCTTCGGGCTGGCCTTTTTGTCTTGGGGAAAGGCTGCGGGAAGGCTGCAGAAAGACTTCTTGGGGTCTTTTGGCAGCCTTGCGGCAAGCCTGGTCTGAAAAACATGTTGTTTCAATGCCCGGAGTTGGAAGCACCTGCGCACAAATAACAAACACATATCCCAGTCTTCCCCCCCTTGCACCTCATTTTGTTTTTTTACTTCTGAGGCCATGGGTCTGAATAGCTGCAGGGGTAGCAGTATTGAAGGAATGCCACAGGCGCAGTCAGCCATTGAAGCAAAAACATGGCTGGCTTGGTGTTTGCCAATGCTGCCGTCTCAATCCTGGGGCACGCCGTTTCATGACAGGTTTGCGCTTGCGCTGCTGTGTAACGTGTCGAAAAGGATCGGGATGGCACTATTAAGCTGTGGTTTATGCGATCCGAAATGTAGAAGTGCTGATTCAACGCACTAGGCTAGCTGCTTTTTGCCGATTTCAGTTCGTTTCAATGGCAAACCGGTCTTGGAATTGCCATGGCAAGCAATGTGTTGAACATATTGCTAAACAATCGTGCCAGGCGGCTTGACAATCACAACCCGCGTGCCCGGTGTGCAGTGACTGCCGTCCTGTCAACCTGCAAGGGCCCCCTCCAAAAATAAGAAAGAACCAAATTAAAATACCGCAGTAGACAAAACCATATATCCAAAGAGTGCTGATCAACCAACTCCATTGACTGACGACAGTTTTCTCCAACGGACTCCAACTCAGGTGGCAGCTGGCACCATGTGTTGGGGATACTTCTCGGTTGCTGGCCTGCACATGGTATGTGTCTTTTTTGGAGTTGGTGGAGGGTTCCACGTTGTGACTACCCTCAAGGTGGACTGAAACCCAGGGGTGGTTCATTGCCCCAAAAGGAGAACCCCTGGGCGGGATAGGCAAAAAGCCCCGGATGGGGGCGTTCAAGGGACATCAAAGAGGTTGGGGGGTGGAGGGGGGGTCTATTTTGATACACACCCATGTGAGAGCGGTGGGAGTGGGGGGGCCACATTCAGGGTGCATCGTTCTGTGCTCGTATAGCTTGTTCTACTCTACATTCACAGTGGTTCTGCATCACCTTGCGGATACTTCCCGTTCTGCCGTATCCCAGGTTTGCAAAGCGGTGGTCATCACTTGCATTTCGGGATCCCAAAAATCACATGCACAGGCATATTGGCGTGTTTTTTTGTTTGGGGACCCCCAAAAATGGGTAGGTGTTGCTTTGAGTTTTCCCTTTAACGCCACCAACAAAGGGGAACCAACTCCAAGCAAGACGAGCCATATGCGACCCGCAAGTGGAAATCTTCAGCTTTACTCAGCTTTCGGTTTCTGGAAGGACTGTCAACATGTCATGCGCTTTTTGCGCAAAGAGCCCAAGCAATCAGACATGAATTCCCAGCGAAATGATCTCCAAAACAATCCCTAAGATTCATTTACCCATTTGGCTGTGGGTCAAAACCAATGCAATCCCATTTTGGGGTAGGTGCACCACCCATGTTTGTCTATTTTAGTGGGGATTGGGATGTTCACTGGGGGTACGGGATTTTGACCCATGGCCATTTGGGTGCTTGACGCCGATTGAGGCTTTGCCCTGCTGCAACTGCTGTGCACTGCAGTGCTGTTCCTCTTCCCGCGCTTGACGCCGCATCTGAGCGCTGAGGCGGATCAACTGAGTATTTGGTCCCAGCAAACCTGGAACATACCCCTGGGAAAGGCAAATAGGGGTGAAATGGGCGTAAACAAGCTCTCAAGAAAACTAACCGAGTATAACGCATATCTTCTTTGGGGCTTGGTTTTGGGGGTCAGGGGGATGCCTTTGAAACTGACAAAAAGGCTAGCATGGCGGACCAGCTGATTTCTAGACACATGCTCGGACGATGGAGGCCACAGATGTGCTTTGTGACTCACATCTTCAACTCACATCTTATATTCCATTTTTCGCGTCCGAACCATAAGTTCAGTGGTTTTGCAGCAATTCCCTCGTTCTCCACTTTTCCAAGTTGGTTTTGCAACAACATGCCAGCGAATGCAACTTGCTTTCTGCAGACCAGCGCAAGGTTCGGGAGGAGCATGCGACCCCAGGTCTCAAGTTGCATGGATCGCAGTGTCACAGGCCGATCGGCGGCCCAGTCACTCGGAGTTCGAGGGCGTGACGTCGCAGATCATTGGTAAGAGAGAGGAGCAGTGAGACCGACTTTCCACAGGCGAAAAAATGCATCACCTTTGAACTTGTGAAGTCACTGATTGTGAGCACGTTCATTGGACAGTACTTCACAGACAAAAGTGTCTGGATGTGGCCCACGTTGAGAAGCTTGCTCGGCCAATTGTCTTGTGACAAGATCTGAGCACCCATTCCGGGCTGCCCAACAAGAGGCAGCTCGAGGGTGCGACCTTATCCCACCAGGTAGGTGTCACATGAATGTAGCAAGCTGTGCCAGGCAAGAGCTCGCCAAATGGCAACCAAAGATGTTGCACTCGGCGCTTGAACTCTAGCCCGCGGTGAAACAGAAAAAGCAACGAACGCACGTCCCAGGCCAGTCTGACGCATTACCGGCGGGTTGGCAGGGAGTCCGAGATGGCAGGTGCTCTATCACAGGCAAGTCGGCCAGAGACGCCGTTGGCACCATACCCCCATCGCCGGGCGCTCAAATGTTGTGCTTGCTCTGGAGGTGTCCAAAGAAAGTATGGCTCTTGACATGCCAAATAGAAGGGTTTGTCTCAAAATGCGGAGACCCAAAACGGGAGCTTTCCTTTTCGTTTCCCTTTCTACAATCGTGGCTGGGTGCAAGGAACAATTGCCTTGTTGCTGGAGGTCTGTATGATACTGGCTGGAAGATCACACGACCCCCCCCAAACAACAGTTGTCACAAAGAAGTACTGAGGAAAATCCTCTTTGGGGGTTTCCCTTTAAACCCAACCAAACAGGGGTGTACACACAGAATCCCAGTAGGGCCTCTTGATCTAGCCATAGATTGTGGGTTATTGGAGAATGTTTGCCATGGCACTGGTTGATAGTTCTGCATTGGGCAAACAAGGTGTTACTGCATAAGCCAGCTTCAGCAATGCAAGTTCAGGGTATCACAGGAACAGCAGCCTGGAGGTTCTGCGGTTTGGTTGTGCTGTGTATTTCAATTGAGAGACTGTGCTTTCTGCCACATAGGTCAAAGCCGACACGCAACCCCATACATCAAAGCCGAACACACTGTAGCAGCTATGAGCCTTTGTGACACACGCGTTGCGGTGCGTAGAGGGATTGTCGTAAGTTGTTTGCTTGTCTATTTTATTTGTCTGCGTGATTGCTTGTGAATCTCTCTCTCTCTCTCTGTTTGTCTTTTGTGTGCGTGGAAGATGCATGATCGTTGCGATGCAAGTTTTCAGTAGTTGTTCAGAGATTGTTGGTGTGAGCGATTTATGGCTGTAGAACGTCGGAAACAGTGCAAGCGCGCACTGCCCGTGTTATTTTTTGAGGAGCTGGAGGCTGCATTGTGTGTTGAGATCCCAGGCGCTTGCCTGACTAAGGCCTCTCCGCCATCTCGTGCGCCACTGAGCCTCATGCTCTTGTGCACACGCACACACACGTTGCACATAGAATGCGCAGCACCATGTAGATTAACACAATGCCGAAGCAATAGCACGTCCCACTAAAAGTATGGGTATGGGATAACATATAGTTTGACAGTTTCACAGGGGTTCCTTAAAAAATACATGTTGCCCGATTGAAACATGGCTTTTTCCACCAAAATAAAGGGACACCACCATTTACAAGGCAATGTTCAGGTGTATAATGTAAGGATCCCTGTTTCATAAACGTGCTTCTCGCCTGTTCCATTTAGGTACTTTTCTGACGGGCACCGGCAAGGACACGTGCTGCGCCCCCGGCCGTACCCGCTGGATTTGGAGGTCGGGTGCTGTTTCGGTGGCAAAGCTGTGCCAGCCAAAGGGGCCGCCGGCGTTGAAGCCGAGACTTGGCTGAGTGCAGGAATCTTCGAAGTTGGCCGGATGTCAAGAGAGGCAACTTGATTTCATGGAGCCTCCAGTTCAGATCGCGCACCGACAGACATGCAGACAGAGATCAAAAGGCAGAGAGAGGCAGAGAAGAGACAGATGGAGAGACAGACCAAATCACCCACGCATGCATGAATGCATGCACAAACGCACAACAGCATGCACTTTTGTCATACAGTAAGTTATACACGCACATACACGGATACAGGATACAAGGCCGCACAGATAGATGCATACCTTCACGCATAAGTTGGGACCGACATGCCGCTATACAAGCGTAGAGCCAGGCAGACACGAATTAGACATAGAGGCATAACTCGGCATAACGACATGTATTATATATATATACCCTTGGGCCAATAACGTGGAACCTGACACCGGGTCCCTTTAAAAGGAGCATGTTTTTCAGGGACCACCCTGTCAGGTTCCATGTTAATTGGTGGGAGGGTAGATAAATCGATCATGTTATGACGAATGGGCTTGGACTTGATGAAATACGTCTGCACACATGCAATGCCTAAGACAAGGTGTGGAGCAAAACTAGGCAGTGCGTATGTTCCGCACGAATCCCGTGTCGCAGCTTTGGGCGTCGCAGGTGTGAAGGCTGACGGCTCTGAAGAAATTAGGGTGAGGCAGCCCCACTTCGCGCCCTTTGCGCCAAACATAGGCGCAGAGTGGGCCCGGAGATGGGGGCCGAGTTGGGCCCGCGGTGCCAAACCAATTCGTGCAGTGTACAGGTTGCACGACTCCCAGGAAATCGCGGCCAACTGCCCAACGGTTGTCTCCGCCTCCGTGATTCAGATAGCACATTTTGAGTAATCTGCGCGCCAAAGGATTGGCCTGCGGCGTTTTCCCGTGCCTGACGGAACCTGCTGGTTCTCAGAGAATGAGAATTGGAATGGCCCCTACAAACCATGCCCTATAATATCCTTTAAGGGAATCCCCAAAACCGGTTCATGTCCAACACCCGTTCTCCCTCAGTCATCTGAGCACAAGCAAGGGAAGGCAGGTGTTAGAGGCTTGTGGCGCTAGGCCCACATCCTGTTTACCCTCAAGGCAGGCACCCTTGCGAGCGGGGAACGGACAGCTTGCAGCCGTTTTTTTTAGAGCCACATATGGGTGGCTTGTCGTTCTCTTTTGCCCCCCCCCCAAAAAAAATGGATGTTTGTTTTCCTGGTGTTGTTCAAAGCCACGCAGAAGGAGGCGCCAAACACGACGAGACACCCATACGTTGCACATTGGCTGCAGCTCGCAAGAGTGCTTGAAGGCTTTGTCAAGGGCTTGTGCCAACACGGCGATCAAGCGTCTTGTTCATCTCTCTAACAGAGGGTAACAGCCATCCAATGCGCTCCCATGCATGAAAGAGCGAGGCGGATATGTCCGAATCCCAGCGCTCCCATGGCTATGATGCTCTGGGAACCGCCTCAAAAGTGGTTAGTGGACATGACTCCTCACTCTAAATGATGCCCAAAGGTCCGTAATCACAATTCATGTTCAAAGAGCGTCCTGAAGGAGGTGTTTCCTACACTAGGGAGTTCCTCGACCTTTGATCCCTTTGACAAATCAAAGTGGTGTACTTTTGCTCTTCAGGGTTTCCACCTTGCTGGAAAGGAATGAAAGAGTTGTGCCAAGAAGCTCATGGGGCGCTGCAAAACAGATTGTCGCGTCTTGCGCGCAGTTCGGACCGAATGAGGAAATGAGGGCCGAAGAAGACGTGACCCCGGCTGGATGGGCATGAAATAATACCACTTCATGATATAATTTTGCAGTGTTTGCTAGGGGATGTGATAGGAAAAGGAACGCGTTGCATAGAACATTGGTATGGTTGCAACGGCAATCACTCAGAGAAGTTTCAGACCATGTTCGCTCACTGAAGGGAGCGATCTATCCACAAGCGCGAGATTGCAGCCGATGGCGGCCGCAAGTTTGGGGAGGCTCTTCAGGACCGTTTCAGGAATCTCAAGGGCTTGTGCTGTTTTGAGAGGGGCGCAACTGCCAATGGCCTGTTAAACTTATTGAAGGAACGGCTCACAATATTGGTTCTACTCGGACCAGAGGTACACTCGCATCCTACTAAATGAGTGATCACATAGGCCTCCCTGAAGCCATCAACGGTGATCGTTTTGGAGAATCCCCAAAGGCACCTGGAACCCAAAATGCCCGGATCTCCCAAAAGGCGCTTCCTCTAAAACCTTTTTTGTGTGAGCATGTTAATCTGCAGGGGTCGAATGTTCGTTGTCGTCGGGCCATTTTTGTATGAGTCGCTCAGGAGTCCATGGGCGGAAAAGTCCGATGGCCGCTGACCTAGTAGACACACCCGTATTTTGCTCCTCAACCCACATCACAGGGTGTTTGTCGTGATTTGTTGTTTTTGCCGTGGTAAGAAAAATGAACGCGATGTCGTGGAAGGAGCAAGTTCTGCTATGGTATGGAAGGCTGTTGCGAAGCGTGGTTGGTGCGCCCCCTCCAACCCACATCCAGACAGGCGGGCTGCTTTGCGATTTTGTGCTGGAAAATGTACCCAAGGTGCAACCTCAGCCATCGAGTGGAACTTGATTCAAGGGTATTTTCAGGCATGGAGAGTATACAAGGGGTACAGGGTTGCACGCTTATGTCGGAATACAAGCATCCATACCTCGAACACCCAAACTGCTCTTGATTAATTTGTTCAGAGCACGTTTTCGCCTAAGAATTCGAAGGGACAGTCCAGCTTTGAGATCAGAGTTCTCAGATCGCCAGACATCCTTGGGAGCCAGGATCTTGACAGGATCTTGACCATGGCTCTGGATCGGGTTTTTGATCGGGCAATTCTTGGAGATCAATTTCGGGCGTCCACCAAAAATGGCTGAAGATGTTGCCCATGTTTCATAGTCATGTGTGTCTATCATGTGCGTCGTTGAGGGAACCCCCCTAAAGTACCTGGGTTTGCTTTGGTTTTCCTTGATAACTTCAAAACAAACCTCTAGGGGTTGATTCCCCATTCTTTTAAACCATCGTTCTTTCCAAAAACCGGATCCGTTTTCCCTGGGTTTCCGGAGGTTTTCTAGAAAGATCACAAATGGAAGGTACCCCTAGAAAAGCCCTACAACGGGCGCCCTCAAACAGGGACCCGCCCCATCCTCGGGCCCTAGGCGCAAGCTCGGCCGCCGCCTCAGACGATGGCTTGTGAATCGGCGTGTGTCGGACGTGGTGCTCAGGGCCACGTGCTCAAAACGGATTCGGGTTGGTTTCGGTTAGTACAGGCCAATCCCAGGCCTACACAGACGCGAATATGGTTCCTGGACTCCGTTGTTCAGTGGCTCCAATTCTTTTTCCAACTTTGTTTTTGGTGGCCCCACTAAAATGGTCCAAGCCCAAAAAAGGGTTCCCTTTTTTTCTCCAGGGTCACTGAAGAACTGAGGGATTGCGCCTTCCCGGAACCTACCAAAGGCCAAAGGCCAGAACCAGAAATCGTTGCGGCCGCGTGCTTAATTCTTGCAGCATGGTTCTGAGTTCGATCTT